GGGGGGTGATTTCTCGCTTTCTGTCTCTATGTCTCTATCTGTCTGTCTGGCGAGCGCACGCACCCTACAGTGAAAATCTCTCCCAAAAAAAAAAAAAAAATCACACCACTGACTTACTGGGCCTGGTAACACTGCTGCTGCATGCTTCTCGTCCCTACAAGCAGCTGCTAATCAAGTGCACCAATTCCTCCTGCACACATAGAACACGCAACCTCGAATCTTACCATGTGCATCCAATTCGTCAGGTCGGAAACATGACATTAGGGTATTATACGAGCACAAACAAGCTAAAGAGTATTATTATGACTCTGCCTTTTAAAAAATTAAAAGATGAAGCATGGTAGAGAACTAGTAACCACTGCTTACCAGACTTCCTCTGAATGTGTCTTTTCCCAGCTTCCCTGAAAGCAACCATGGCTCTAAAAAAAGCCCGGAGAACTGCCCATCGGAAGACAGCTACAGGGTCAATTCCAATCATCCCCGAGATAAATGCATTCTTGCTACTTCGCAGAAGAGCTACGATGTCTGGGCGCATATGATCTGTATTTTTTTCCCGGAAATCCTACATGAAAAGAGGACCAGTGTTATTTTACAGCATCTGGATTTTTAAAGTGGTTGGGACCATCTAGGAGCCGTAAACAGGCAGGAAACATCACCTGCCACAGCACAGGGCTAGAGGGGACAGAACACGGACTGTGGTTAAAATGCTACATAGACAGATGAGGGCATGAAGCTGCCGTCCCAGGAGCGACAGTGCAGAGGAGGATGTCCAGTCTAGCACTGACTACAAGCTCAGAACCCTGTTCACACCAAGCACAAGGTAAGCAAACCCTGCGAGGAGCTGCAGCTTCGCAGAGCACCTCCCACTGGCGATGTTTGGAGGAGCTCATCTAGCACAATGCCGCCTGTCCTCATGCACAGAAATCAGCTTCACTCATCTCATTTCCTTTAAAACTGTCCCTTACTAATTCCTCTTCGTTCTCCTGAGAAGGGGGGAAAGGGGAAATAACCCAGGTGGCTTGGTCCTTGGCTTGCCCCCGAACACCTTAAAGCAAAGTATGTACCACATAAGAAAGTTAGTACACTTAAGTGTCATCACCACCACCACAACCACCCTCAGGTAACCCCTACTGATGGCAGTCGAGGTGTGAGGCGCTAACTTACTACTGATAGTTTCTATTTGTGAATCTAAACAGATCTAAGGGCTCAGCCAGAGCGGCTTGGACTCTGACGCTATGCTATGCAGAGATGACATGAAAAACCCGGGTTCCATCCCAATCAACACAGGGGCAGGCATGATGTCATGCCTGTCACCCAGCAACTCCAAAGGCTGAGGCAGGAGAATCATACAGCCAAAACTCTGTCTAAGAAGGACAATAAACAGAGAAAGAAACTACTTTAAAAAATAAAGAATAAAAAAACAGGGCTGGCCTCATGGCCTAAGAGTTAAGGGAAAAGGACTGCACACGGCTCATCGAGGTTCAAATCCCAGCTCCAGCGGCTTGAAAAAACACAGAGTGCATGTGTGTGCATGCCCAAAGGCCCAACAGGATGGAGAGATGGAGAGGGCACTGCAGTGTGACCATATCCACCGCGGTTTCCTCCTCCATCTCACTCGCTCTCGCTCTCTCTGTGACTCTCACTGAAGAGTACATGGGCCTTCTGGCAAATTTTTTAAAAAATGAGCACATAAAATGTCCCCAATTGTTACTGCACAAAATACAAAGAGGGTGAGTGACCCCAGACAGTGGTGAGGCTGACAGCACGCCTCTGCTCTGAGAGCACAGCCAGTGAGGAGCTCACTCACCTTCACCCCGTACTTGACCCTTCCAGCATAGTGTTTTATGATGAAAGCAGGCTCCATCACAGCTGGGAACTCGATGTAGGAATTACCTTCATGTTGATGCTTGAACTTGTCTAGCAATGTCTGATTGGTAGCCTGTGGGAAACTGAATGTAGGAGGGAGAGAAACGAAGAGAGAAAACACAGAGTTAGCACAGTCGGTCTTTATGTCCACAATGGCTGGACTGCTGTCTACACACCCGGCAGCTGACAGGACTCACCAGACTGTCTAACCCTAGTCTCGGAAGAAGCTCAATTGTGACTATAACAAGGACTGCTGTTCTTATTCCTTAGATGAGGGACTGAAAGCTGTAATCTGGCCATATCACACTTTACAAGTAGCAGAACGGAGAAACTCATTCAGATCATTAGAAATGCAGCTTGGGGGGGCTAGCAGATGGCGTAATGGTTACATCGCTGGACTCCCATGCGGTCCACCTCCAAGTCCTGGACCTGGCAGCCTAAACTCGTGCCAAGCACATGTACGTGCATGCCCAAGATCCGGAGAAGAGAAAAGAGGAGAAGGGATTGTGGCAGGGCCATCCTGTGGGGGTGACTTCTTGCTTTCTGTCTCTCCAGTGAGTGCAGGTGCCTTATAGCAAAAATCTCTCACAAAGAAAAAGACTCCATGAGACCAGAAAAATTTCTTTAAAAAAAAAAAAAAAGAAGAAGAAATGTAACTTGGGTTGCATGGTGCCACGCTACTGTAAAACTCAAGGAAGATAAAAACAGAAATCATATGTTCTTTGGAACCAAGAATGTCCAAAAAAGGGACAGCCTCTCAGTTTGCACAGGTCTTAAAATCCACAGTCATTCTTTGTTCTCCTATTTCTTCAAAAATAAGTAGTAATTTCCTTACCTCTCCCAATCACATTCACATTTCTACACTGTATCTATCACACTACTCAGACATGTATCAGTGGGCTTGTACTTATGGATTATGCTGATTGATTGGGCATTTTACTTTATTTTTCATTTGTAATATGGTGTGTGTGTTTGCCAAGAGACACTGAGAGGGAAAGTGAGAAATCATCCCCCAGGGGGGAACAACATCATGGCTCTGTCACTAGACTCCCATGTAGCCGACTGTAGTTTGAGTCCCGGACCCGGCGGCTTAAACTCAACGCCGGGCGTGTGTGCATGCGTGCCCAAGATCCCGAGAGAATGGAGAAGGGATTGTGGTGTGGCCATCCCCCCAGGGGGTGATTTCTTGCTTTCTGTCTCTCTGTCTTTCTCTATGTTTCTCTGGGAAGCACACACGCCTTATAGCAAGAAAAAAGAAGGAAATAAAAAAGAAAATGAAAAAGAAATCATCCCCTAGGGGAGGATGGCCATGCCACAATCCCTTCTCCTTCATTCTCCTCCTGAGATCTTGGGGACACACACACACACACACACACGCCCAGTGTGATTTTCAAACCCCCAGGTCCGGGACTCGATCTGCAGTTGGCCATGTGGGAGTCCAGCAACATAACCACTAACCAGCCACCTGCTAGCCCCTCACTGAGCATTTTATACCCATTAATCACAGGTAACATCTACTGGGTTAGCCCCAGCACAGAGGTGCACTCTAGACCTGAGTGCTCGGCAGGCTGCATCTGTACAGCTCCGTTTCGATTTCTGAGCTCGTCCTAAGGGACAAAAAGACAAGTGTGGTGGTGCATGCGTGTACGGTCCCACTGCTCAGGAAGCTGAGGCAGAGACACTGCCCCCTAGCAAGACTCTGTCGAGAACATCACACATATACAGAACACACACCCCACCAGAGAGGGAGGGGAATGCGTGTACGGTCCCACTGCTCAGGGAGCTGAGGCAGAGACCCTGCCACCTAGAAAGACTTTGTCGAGAAACACATATACAGAACACACACCCCACCAGAGAGGGAGGGGGAATGCGTGTACGGTCCCACTGCTCAGGGAGCTGAGGCAGAGACACTGCCACCTAGCAAGACTTTGTCGAGAACATCACACATATACAGAACACACACCCCACCAGAGAGGGAGGGGGAATGCGTGTACGGTCCCACTGCTCAGGGAGCTGAGGCAGAGACACTGCCACCTAGCAAGACTTTGTCGAGAACATCACACATATACAAAATGCACACCCCACCAGAGAGGTGGGGGGGAGAGAGAGAGAGAGAGGAGTGCATAGCAGGAAATATGGGAATTTAAAGTTCAGAAGCAGGCAGCCATGGGGCAGCACTAATGCAGCCCTGCAACGCTGGATCCCCTGGGAAGGTTCTGGACTCAGCCTGGGGCCTTCTGGTACATTCCAAGCACGTGTATAGGTACCTATGATTCAGGCTGGCTGAGGCTGGGGGTCAAGAACATCCTGTTGAGTGTGTCTGCCTGCCTGTCTCTCCTTTCTTTCACAAAAGAAATAAATACACTTGAAAAGTATAAATGAGGGACCAGCAGGTGGCGTGGTGGTTGGGGTGCTGGATACTCCCACATGGCTGACCACAGTTAAAGTCCTGGACCTGGTGGCTTGCTTTTTCACTTTCTCTCACTCTCTCTCTGGTCAAATTAAAATAAATGAATAAATAAATAAAGTTAAAATTTAAATGTGTGTGTGTGTGTGTGTGTGTGTGTATATGTGTGTGTGTGTGTGTGTGTGTGTGTATGTATATATATAAAAATGAAAGTTTAGAGGAAAAAAAAAATCAGTGGGGCCAGCAGGTGGCATAATGGTTACTGTGCTGGACTCCCACATGGCCAAAAGCAGTTTGAATTCTAGACCTGAAGGCTTGAAAAATCACACGGGACATGTGGGTGTATGTGCCCAAGACCCCAGGAGGAAAACGGAGGAGAAAAGACTGTGGCATGGCCACCCTCCAGGGGATGATTGCTCACTTTACCTCTCACAGTCTTTCTGTTTCTCTCCTGCAGGCACACACACCCTATGGCAAAAACCTTCAAACAAACAAACAAAAGCACCAGTGATTGAGAACAGCACACAGCTCCACAGAGGGCACAGGAGGCAAGCAGGAGCTAGCAGCTAAAGGTTCAGTAGGAGCTTCAAGTAGAGGAAATACCGCCAACAGAAAAGGAGGAAGAATCTTTCATAAAAATACTGGGCCGTTGGGGAAGCCACGACACATTTTTGCACAGAGAAATACATCATGACTCTCCTGACAGCCTAATAGTTTCATGTCGGAGAAGCCGAACTAATTAGAAAGGTTGTAAAGCTGCGGAATGTGTGAAGTAATTCCAAAGTTACCCACCAACTGCTGAGTGCATGTGCACTGGAATCAGACACAGTGCCTTCACTGCCACTCGGTTCAGATCGCCATCTGACAGACACCTGCGCCAAGCTGGGTCACCTTCTCTGAGAACAGGTCTCCCAGCCCCGAAAGTGAGCGATCACACTTCTGGTTATCGCAGAGCTAGCAGGACTAACGGGAACTAGCACAATCTAGCACAATCGTAACACTGCTGTCGGCAGGGGGTCCATCATGTCACCTGCTCACTCTGAAACGCTCAGGCCACCGTAGACTGGCCCATGACCCACACTATCTGCGAGACGACAGCACCACCTGTCCTATCTTACGGGCCAGACACCAAAGCATTCATATTGAAATAAACTTCCCCATAACGCTGCTCTAATCATGCACCTCCCCTGCTCGGAACGCTGACGGACACAGGGCAAAGAAAGTGTCTGACTGCGAACCCTAAGCCCAGGTCGCGCCCCGCCACCCACCCGACTTGTGCCTCACTTCTCCATGGCAGCATGGCTCTCAGGGAGGTGCTCGTCTCACTGTCACAGACAAGGGCTCATTTACCTTCTTTTAAAAAATATTTATTATTTTAACATTTCCAGATATGGGGGCAGAGGGAGAGTGAGGGAGGGAGGGAAAGTGAGAAAGCAAGCCTACAGGTCCAGGACTCGAACCACAGTGGGCCATGTGGGAGTCCAGTGCCTTTAACCACCACGCCACCTGCTGGCCCCAGGACTTGTTTACCTTGTAATTCTCTGTGGACCAAAAAAAATATGATACAGTTTTCTCTCATTTTTAAATGGACAAAGAAAGCATATGATAGTTTTCTCTCATTTTTAAATGGACAAAGAAAAGTTCAAAGGAAGGAGAACAGACATGAGAACAGTCTTTACTCTAAAGCAGGAAAGGAGGAAAGGAAAGCTCTTCGTTGGGCCTGTACTCGATAAACATTTGCAGAAAACTATTGTCAGGCGAAAGAGCTCGAAACAGAGGCAAATCTTACGTCAGTGCTCATCCCAAAGCTTAGTCTAGAGTTCTCCAAAAGCTAGCTTCAAGAGTAGCCTTGTAAGTATCTCCAGAGCATTCACAATGACCAATGCCTGGACTCCACCTATGGGGGTTCTGATTTAATCCGTAAGGATGGTGCAGTAGCATCAGATAATTGCAAATTCCCAAGGCAGTTTTTTTTTTTCTTTTTAAAAGGTTTTTGCCAGAGGGTGCCTGTGCTCACCAGAGAAAAAGAGAGGGACAGACAGTGGGAGGGAAAGTGAGAAATCTCCCCCCAAGGGGATGGCCATGCTGCAATCCATTCTTCTCCATTCTCGTCTTGGGATCTTGGACACAAACACACACGCACCCAGTTTGATTTTGAAGTCACTGGTTCTGGGACTTGAGCTGTGGTCAGTCATGTGGGGAGTCCAGGGACATAACCGCTATGCCGTCTGCTGGACCCCCAGGTAGCTTTTATGAGCGGGCAAGACCGACCAAGTACTGCTGTAAGTGAACACTCCAATCTAACCTTCTATCTCTATTAAACTGCAGATTCTGATTCAACCAGTTGAGGGAGGAAACCTGAGACTGTCTATCTCTCTCTTTCTTTTTCTTGTTAGACAGTGCTTGGACTGGCCAGGGAGACGGAGCTGGAGAAGGAAGCACTCCCATGAGGAATGGTCACGCCGCACTTCCTCTCCCTTCACCGCGCACACGCACACGCACACGCGCCCTGCATGTTCCTCAAGCTGCCAGGCCTGGGACCTGAACTGCACGGTCGGCCACGTGGGCTCTGGCCGCCTTCACCAGCGCGCCACTGCTGGCCCGTAGGTGCTAATGGGATGGTGAGCTACTCCGGAGGGCGCGGTAGACTTTTACTTCTGAAGTCTATGCTACAGTTTGGTATACTAAGCAGTGCCAATGAAGAACGGCAAATAGGTGGCATGTGCTGCCACTTCCCACCTGCACAGGCATGGCAGACACCGCTGTCACAGTGTCAATGAGTCCCCAGAGAGCCACGTGTCGGAATCTGGGTACTACTGTGACAGGAGTATTAAACAGGTGGGGGGAAAGAGGGTGGAAACGGGATGTGACTGTGACACTGGGAGAAGGTCCTTGGGAGGCTTATTAGGATTAGATAAGGTCATCAAGGGTGGCCTTGTAAGAGGAGGAGAGGTCAGCCCTGGCACAGACGCAAGTTCTCAGCCTACCGCCACGTGATACCCTGCACCACCTTGGGACCCCCCAGAGCCCCGGCCAAAAAGATGCAGCTTCTAGACCTTGGTCCTCCAGCCTGTGAGGTAAATACGCCTCCATCTGTCATAAATTACCCAGCCTGCGGCATTTGGCTGTTAACAGGAGAATGGACTCGAGTGTATGACACTGTTTCTGCTCAATGTGAAAACTGCAAACATCTCTTACCAAATAACAACGGATTCAAAAAGGATCATACAACCACAAAATAGACTTAACCACCAATTTAACATCAAACTATGGAAAAGAAATCTTAAAACCTTAGGGAAAAAAATTAGTTAAGTCTATCTTATTTCCTTAGAAAGACATACAAATAAAAAAAAATGCATAAAAAGAAAACTTTGGCTCTTCATTTCATAATTTAAAAGAGAAGTTTAAACTTAAGAAGCTATTAGAGGGGCCAGCAGTTGGCATAAAGGCAATGTTGCTGGACTCTCACATAGTCAACCACTGTTTGAGTCCCGGACCTGGTGGCTTAAACTCACGCCGGGCACGTGTGCGTGCGTGCCTAAGATCCCGAGAGGAGAATGGAGGAGAAGGGACTGCAGCGTGGCCATTCCCCCTGGGGGGTGATTTCTCACTCTCTTTCTCTCCGACTCCGTCTTTTGGGCGAGCACACACGTCCTATAGCAAAAACCTGTCCAAAAAAAGCTATTAGAGGGGCCAGTGGGTGGTATGGTGGTTAAGGCACTGGACTCCCATGTGGCTGAACGTGGTCTGAGTCCCAGACCTGGCAGTTTGTTTTCTTGCTTTCCCTTTCTCTGTTTCTCTCTGGTCAAACTGAAAAATACTAACAAAAGGAATTAAATTTTTTTTAAAGAATTATTTTATTTAACGTTATTTATTTTATTTCTTTTTAATTTTGACCAGAGAGAGATAAGGTGTAAGAAAGAGAAAAAAGCAAGCCACCAGGTCCAGGACTTGAACTGTGGTCAGCCATGTGGGAGTCCAGTGCCCTTAACCACTATGACACCTGCTAGTCCCAGGAATTAAATTTAAAAAGAGAAGAAAAAAAGCAGCAGTCATGAGAGCTCAAACGGTCAATAACAAAAATTAAGAGTCATACTCACTTGCTTTCTTCATCCAAAAGATGGAGCAGTCCTGTTGGTTTTTTGCTAATGAGATTTATGCAGCAGGTGTTATCAATATAATCTATGTTGTGCCAGCTTATACCTTCAGCTCTGTATTCCTCCTAGGAAACCAGTAACAAAGTAACAATTTATTCATCTCGCAGGAATTAATAGGTATGTGAAAATAAGAACTGAAAAGCTTCTTATCAGGACTAAAAGAACAGTCTAAACTTTTTTTCCAAATCCCAATCCACACAATAGAAAGATGCCTACTTTCAGTTGTATGAAACATGAATGTATTTCAGATTCCTTTATAAAACATGCAAGCAAATTTTTTGTTAGAATCTCATTTCTGAGACCTTCTGGTCGAAATCTAGTGCTGGATTTGTTTTAATTGCACCATCTATGATTCCACTAAGGAAAAACATTCAATGAAAAAGTCTTTACCCTGCATGACTCAATCTATCAAAAAAGAGACAATGAATTTAATAAAACAGTTCCTGGGAAAAGTGGATAACCATCACCTCCAGCAATCGGTGATATAAATAAAATAAAATTCACACACAGATGTAACTTAGGCAAAATAAAAACCTTCAAAAACGTTAAAGAAACTAGAAGGCTTAGGGCCAGGCAGAGGCACAGCGATAAAGCATGGCACTCTGCCAGGCCGTGCCACAGGGGAGGCTCTCTGCTGGGGCCTGGGGACCCCTGAGTGTGCAGGGGACATGAGCCCTCACAATCCAGTCTGGCTGAGGGCTGGGGAGGGACTGTAGCCTCAGGACCCCATTAGGGTGCTGTCTCTGTCTCTCTGTCTGTCTCTCTTACTCACAGAAGAAATTGTTTCACTTTAAAATAGGATGGGGCGTGGGGTAGTCAAATGCTGTTCGTACAAAGCCAGATCCCTCAGAGCCAACCCATGGACTGGTGGTTAAGGCAGCTGGATGCCACATGGTCGACTGCTTAGTTCAAGTCTGGATCTGGCAGTTTGAGAAACACACTGGGCAGATGCAAGCGCGTGCCCAGAATCCCGAAAGAGGGGAGAGATGAGAAGGGGCTGCGCTATGGACATGCCCCTTTCTCATGCACGCTTTCTCACCACCTCTCTCTCCAGCGAGTACATGTGCCTTCTGGCAAATAAGAAAAAAAGAAAGCCAGATCTCACATGGCCAACTGCGGCTCCAATTCTGGCCCTGGAAGCTTGAAAAACATGCTGGGCATATGTATGTACGTGCCCAGGATGCTGACCAGATGGGGACGTAGGGAGGTGGGGACTGCAGCATAGCCATGTCTGCTGGGAGCATGGGGGAAGGTGCACCGGCATCCCCCCTCAACACACACACACAAGTAAGTAAACACAGCTTATTAAAAGAAATTAGCGCCAGCACAGTGGTGCAGGAGCACATGGTAACCACTGTCCCAGCCTGCCGACCCAGAGGGGAATGTGCAGGCTCTGCCCTGAGGGCTCCCTAGGTGCACACACACCAATTACTCTGTGTAGCTGGGGCTGGCAGGGAACCCCAGGGTGAAGATTCTGCTAGGGATGCCTTTCTCTCCCTGTGCCCCACCCAGTCTCATGGAAGAAATAAACAGGAAAAAAATTGTTTCAACTAACTTATAGGTATGATAATCGACCATTCCATTATGGTACCAAGTCATCAGATTTCTTTCACATACTCTGATATAGATGATTCCGCATAAAGGAGGAAAAATAATTAACGCTGATTTTAGACATTATATTACTTCTTTAATTCTTAGAATAAGACTGTGAGGTACGACCCTGCTACATCTAAATGCTTTATAAATGAAAACACATGACTTTGAAATAAAAATTAAATGACTGCTTAATCTAAATAAATTAAAATTTCGTGAAACTTCTAAAAAAGTGCTTACCATGGCTATGATTCAAATATTTATGGTTTGAGGGAAATGCATACAAATTTAGATACTCACTTGCTCTAATTTAAATATATGCTGATTAAAGTAGTGTTGTAAACGTTCATTAGCAAAATTAATACAAAATTGTTCAAAGCTGTTGTTTTCATAATCTTCAAACCCAAAAATATCAAGAACACCAATAGACAAAGTCTGCAAAACAAGAGAAAATTTTGGTTAACAAATGCTTACATTTATCTAATGAATAATATCCAAAATATAAGCAACAAAATATTTACATTCCTTTATAACAGCAGAGAAAAGGATTATTTTTTGTCAGTATTCAACCAAAATATACCAAAAATAAAAAAATTTTAGTTCTCCTTATCTTCATCATTTTATTTCTAAATTTTTTTTTAAAAATTATTTTTATTTTAACTTTATTTTTTATTATTATTTTTAAAATTCAACCAAAAAGAGAAAAAAAGGGAAAGTGAGAAAGCAAACCACCAGGTTCGGGCCTCGAACCATGGCCAGCCATGTGGGAGTGCACAGCGCCTTAACCACCACGCCACCTGCTGGTCCCCTATAAATTCTGTTTTTAAAAGGCATGTTATCACCAGTTTATTAAAACACTTCTTAGGGGAAAATGTATTGAAACCTATCTTACCTTGGTATTGTGTTCCAAATCCTTACTATTCAGAAGTGCGTGATTAATCCGGAAAACTATCCAATCAAACAAGGCACTGTAGAGAGACTTGGCCATGGAGTTCCTCACTGTCACCGCCTAAAAAGTAGCAGCACAGATGACCACGACTATAATCTAAGACCTTATAGCAAATGACTTAGCAAAGCGTCATGAACTGAGTCCCGGCATGTGGCATGCACAACCTAGTAATGTGTGTATCTGCTGTCTCGGGCGTACTGTGAAACACATATATCCAGGGACATCTTTATCTCTGTCTTAAAGTGCAAAGGAAATAGAGAATAATAAGCAAATGATTTTCCTGCTTACTCTGTATAACCACGGTCAAGCTACTTAAGCTTAGAGCCTGCAACTTACACACCTGTAAAATGAAGATAATACTACAATTTATCACATAGGTAATAAATTACTTTTTGAATTTCAAGGGAAAAAAATAAATCTTCAAGTTTACTGACAAAAAAGTTATATATATAACAGGGAAGACTGGTACCAAATTTTCTATGTTCAACACTAGAAACTTGAAAATAAATAGAAAATGCTTATGGAGTTCTAGAAGAAAAAGAAAAGTAACCCTGGAATAATGTACCTAGGCAAGTTACCAACAAACTTTCTTAAAACTATTAAGAAAACCAAAAATAGAATACACACACACACATATATGAGATAATCTAATAAAATCCAGCAAAAGTAAAATATTTTAATACTAAATATACAAGACACAGAATAAACATATTAGTTATCAAAATAAATTTTATAAGCGGGCTGAATATTTTTAGTTAAAAAAAGACCTTCAGAGTAAAATAAAAGCTAGAACCTATGTACTGATGTTTTATAAACAGTACCATTTTTATAAAATATGCGCTCAGACAGAGTCCAGATGTGCTGACAGAAGACCTCTTTACTCCTTAGCATACAGTCTTCGAGCTTCAGCCCTGCTCTCCGAAACACAGTCCTGCCTATCACAGCTGACTCTCAGGGAACCCAACTACCCAAGCCGTATTTTCCCAGCCGAGTGAGGTCACGTGTAGTGTGTCCTTGCTCACCGAGGTGCGCGGACACCCTCCGTGTGGAAACCACAAACCCAGCACTCCCCGTGGGCACCTTTTGCTCCCTTGGCTCCCTAAGTCATTGCCAGGCCCTCTGATTTCACTATCTGGATTTCTTTCCTTTTAACTCCACTCACTTCTGTCAGTATGGCACCACTCTAGACAAAACATCTTTCCCCCTGGGACCAGAAGATGGTGTAATGACTACGTGGCTGGACCCTCATGCAGTCAAAGTTTGAGTCTCGGACCCTGCGGCTTAAAAGTCACACTGGGTGCATGTGCGTGTGTGCCTAAAAATCCCAAGAAGAGAACAGAGAAGAAGGAATTGTGGATGGGTGATTTCTCGCTGTCTCTCTAGTGAATGCACACACCCTGCAGCAAAAATCTCTCTTGGAAAGAAAAAACAACTAACAACTTTTCCCACACTAATGCGGCCTCTGAGCTCATCTCTTCATGTCCACTCTTGCCCTCTATGTGCAAAAGAATCTCACACCAGCTCCCGAGGCCCAGACGAGGTGGAGCAAGCAGTAGGCCACCACCGCATGATACTGGAACCACGTGGAAGGCTCCGGGTCGGATCCCTGGTTGGCCTCAACACCCTGGGTGCACCCGTGGTCCCGGCTGGCTGGAAGGCTCGGGGTGAGAACTGCAGTGTGGAGAGACTCTGTCAAGGTACACTTCCCTCGCTCTCGCTCATAAAAGAAATCAAAAGTAAACTCTAAATGAATGGAGGCCCCCAAGACCTCCACCCCTTGGTGTGCATGTTCTGCAGAGTCCCTCCCACACTCAAGTGTGGGCGCAACTGTAAACAGGATGGACTCCCACCCCATAACTAGTGATGCGACATGACAAAGGTAAGGGTTTTAATGGCATGGTCAAAGGCCCAAATCGGCTGATTTTTAAAAATTAATCAAAGGAAGATTATCTCTGTGGGCCTCACTTAATCAGAAAAAGCTCTTTAAAAGAACTGGAGCCTGGAACCAGCAGATGGGGTAATGGTTACATCACTGGATTCTCATGTAGTTGACAGTGATTCAAGTCCTGGACCCAGTTGCTTAAAATTCATTAGGGTCAGCAGGTGGTGTGGTGAATTAAGGCGCTGGATTTCCACCTGGCAGGCTGTGGTTCAAGTCCTGAACCTGCTGATTTGCTTTCTCACTTTCCCTCTTTCTGTCTCTCTCTGATCAAACTAGAAAATAATAAATAAATAAATAAATAAAGTTAAATAAAATAATCATAAAAAAAAATTCATACCAGGCGTGTGTGCATGTGTGCCCAAGATCCCAGTAAAATTTGGTTGCTATTACAGAATTAAGAGAGAGGAAACTTGAGACCAGCAGATGGTGTAATGGCTATGTCGCTGGACTCCCATGTAGTCGACCACGGTTCGAGTCCCGGACCTGGTGGCTTAAACTCACACCAGGAGCATGTGCATGCCTGCCCAAGATCCCAAGAGGAGAATGAAGGAGAAGGGATTGCGGTGTGGCCATCCCCCCGGGAAGGTGATTTCTCGCTTTCTGTCTCTCTCTTTCTGGTGAGCGCACATGCCCTTTCACAAACACCTCTCAAAAAAAAAAAAAGAGAGAGAGAGAGAGGGGGGAAAGTTAAAATGACTACGGTATTAAAAGGAGGGGCCTTTACATTAATCTGACTACGGTATTAAAAGGAGGGGCCTTTACAAGATAAACAGGATTCGATAAGGTCATCAAGGTGGGCCCCCACGATGGCACACAGACAACTCTAATAGAGGGAGAAAGTAAAGGGGTGACTCTTGCCCTCTTTGCCATGTGATTCCCTATACTACCTGGGACTCTGTGGAGAGTCCCTGCCAGTGAGAAGGCCCTCAACAGACGTGCTCTGTCCACCTCTGCCGGCCAGAGCTGTGAGCAGAAGGAATCTTCATTCAGTATAAATTGCTTTGATTTTCAGAAAAATGAACTTAAACAGCAAGCAAAACAACTGTGAAGGACTGGCCAACCAGGAAAAACGAAACCAGAAAAGTATGCAGTGCTGGAAGGCAGATGAATAAACTGTCTCAAAAAGAAAGAACTGGGAAGGGACCAGCAGTTAGCGTAATGGCTATGTTGCTGGACTCCCATGTAGTCGACTGCGGTTCAAGTCCCAGACCCGGTAGCGTGACACTCACGCCGGGTGCGTGTGCGTGCATGCCCAAGATCCTGAGAGGAGAATGGAGAAGGGATTGCGGCGTGGCCATCCCCCCTTGGGGGGTGATTTCTCACTTTCTGTCTCTCTGTCTCTCTCTGTCTGTCTGGCGAGTGCATGCGCCCTATAGCAAAAACCTCTTAAAAAAAAAGAAAAAAAGAAAGAAAGAACTGGGGCCAGGCTCATAGTGCTAGTGGTTAGCACTATGCAGAGGGAGGTGGGTCTCATGAGGCTGACTGTGGTGTGAATCCCAACTCAAGTGGCTTAGAAAACATACTGAGTCATGGGTACAACCCAGAATCCTGATGGAATGGGGGCCAGCAGGTAGCGTGATGGTTAAGGACACTGGACTCCCACGTGGCTGACCGCAGTTCAAGTCCTGGACTTGGCAGCTTGCTTTCTCACTTTCCTTCTCTCTCTCTCTTTCACTCTGTCCCTCTCTGGTCAAATTTTAAAATAAATAAATAAAGATAAATGAAATAATTAAAAAAAAAATAAAGAATCCTGACGGGATGTACAGTGGAGGGACAGTGATTATAGCATGCACGGCCCCATTAAGGGGCACTCTCGCCCTGAGCTCTCCTGCACATATACACAATTTGGCATAAAACAGGGACAGCCAGTGACGTCAAACACTACTCGTTTATAACCTACTGACCATCTATCTATCCCCTAATAACAATGTGGAATTTATGGTCGACTGTGGTTCGAATCCTGGACCTGGCAGCTTGATTTCTCACTTTCCTTCTCTCTCTCTCTAATGAGTGAACATACCCTATAATGAATTTAATAAAATAAAATAAACTTAAAAAAATGTGGAATTTAATGGTGAAGAGATTAAGGTGACTTTTTTTAAAAAAAGATTTTATTTTATTTATTACTATTTTGTTTTTAATTTGCTATATGACACACACACTTACTGAAGAGAGAGGGAAAGTGAGAAAGTAAGTTGAACTGTGGTCAGTCACATGGGAGTCCACCATCTCAACAACCATGCCACCTGCCAGCTCCAAGATTAAGATTCGTGAAGAAAAATGCAAGCCTACTGCTTGGAATCACATTAAGCTTTAGGTTTCTAAGTTCCTGAAAATTCACTATCAAATTTAAAGGACCTAGAAAATATTTCTGTCAACACTTTTGTTGTCATTGTAGTTCACAAGGGAAAAAAACGCAAACTCGAACTTGTAGAAAAACTACTCCTACCTCTGCCAGCTTGTATGGTAAAATCAGCTTCTCTCCCACCGTCACGGTCTTCCTCGTAACTAACGCTTCAAACAGCATCTCTTCTTTCACCTACGCAGCAGAAACTAAATTCAATACCCACGACTTACGACAACGGGTCGCATTAGTTTACTAAAAGGCTAAATAGAGAGAAAACAACATGAGATTAGCAGATATATGTGGAGAAACAATAAAATACGGAAAATAAACTGGGCAAATTTAATATTTACTGAAGTAGAATTGTCCCACTCACCCTGCTTCCCAAAGAAAAAAAGGAAAAAGGAAACAGAGGGTAAGCAAGACAAGCAGGCCTCTGAAACTAAAGTGTGATTTCTGACTTTTCCAATGAGCCGGTATCTCAGACTCAGAGGTTAGATTATGAGGAGACTGAGACAGAAGATGACAGCGGGAGACAACACTCTGCCGCCAGCAACTTCAAAAACCAGATCGAACATTTTCCAGGGACGAGCTCACACCATTCTGAATGGACAAATACCTGACAAATGAAAAATACTCCTTCTTTCAAAGCTTCCATTGCTCAGCCCTCAAATGATAAGAAAGTGAAAAGACCTTGAGGTAAACTACCTTTACGGAATGTAGTAAGACTAAAAATGAATGACCAGGGACCAGCAGATGATGCAATGTTACGTCACTGGACTCCCATGTGGTCAACTGCAGTTCGAGTCCCAGAACCAGGGGCTTGATGCTCACAACAGGCACGTGTGCGTGCCCAAAATCCCAAGAGGAGACTGGAGGAAACGGTCATTCCCCCTGGGGAGTGATTTCTTGCTTTCTGTCTCTCTGGCGAGCACACATGCCCTATAGAAAAAAATCTGTTTAAAAGAAGAAAAAAATTGATCAAGTTTACATATACGTAAGGAGCAAAAAATAATACCAGATTACATAAAAATGATGAAACTAAGAAAGCTAAGAAAAAAATGTGTGAGTAAAAACCAATTATATTGTGTGGTACATTTCTGCATTTAAAAATAAACGATCTATGCCGTTCAGAGAGAAGTTGTTCGAAAGGAACAAGCCCAAACTAGGCTCAGCCTCAGAGGAGTACTTGGTGGCATGCTGAGCTGCAATGCTGGAAGCCACACGGGCTCACTGCAGGTCGACTGCATGGGAGTCCAGCAACATAGCCATTATGTCAACTGCTGGTCCCTAAATATTCTGAGTTGTACATAACTGACATTTAAAGAAAAAAAAAAAAACTTTACTTACAAAATAAGTTGCAATGAATTCAACATGCAATCTATAAAGGTTTTCACTTACCTAATTAAAACCCCACTCTTTACAGTACTACAAACAGATGTTCAAATATACTCAAAACAGAAACACATAGGGACCAGCAGTTAGCAAAATGGCTATGTCGCTGGACTCCCATGTAGTCGACCATGGTTCGAGTCCCAGACCCGGGGGCTTAGACTCACACCGGGTGCGTGTGCGTGAGTGCCCAAGATCCCAAGAGCAGAATGGAGGAGAAAGGATTGCGGTGTGGCCATCCTCCCTGGGGGGTGATTTCTCACCTTCTGTCTCTCTGTGACTTTCTGGCGAGCATACACGCCCTATAGCAAAAAAACCTCTCCAAAAAAAGAAAGGAAAAAAAAAAACAAAACAGAAACACATAAATCTGCTAAAAACTGAAAAGTTTCTGGTAATGATGATTCTAATCCCTCACAAAAAAAGCATTTCCCGGGGAACCAGCAGTTAGCGTAATGGCTATGTCGCTGGACTCCCACGTAGTCGACTGCGGTTCGTGTCCCGGACCCGGTGGCTTAAAACTCACGCCGGGCACATGTGCGTGCGTGCCCAAGATCCTGAGAGGAGAATGGAGGAGAAGGGATTGCGGCGTGACCATCCCCCCTGGGGGGTGATTTCTCGCTTTCTGTCTCTATGTCTCTCTCTGTCTGTCTGGAGAGCGCACGCGCCCTACAGTGAAAATCTCTCCAAAAAAAAAAAAAAAAAGCATTTCCCACAATGAAGCATAATTCATCTACTGGAACGTGTCCGCCTTTCAGTACTTTCCCATGTGCCTATCACAAACAGGCTTCAAGGCCTGATTTAGTAAAGAGAAGACTCAAACTCCCTGGGGCTGGCAGGGGGCACAGTAGTTAAGGGCACTGAACTCCCACACAGCTGACTGTGGTTCGAGTCTGGAGCGGGCGATGTGCTTTCTCTGTCTCTGTCCCTCTCTGTTCAAATTAAAATAAATAAGTTAAATAAAATAATTCTTTTTAAAAAATAATTCCCTTGCCTAGAGTAACTAAAAACATAATTAGAAAAAAATACATAAAATTAAATCACTACCTTTAAAATCTTTGCTCTTCAAATTAAATGATATTTATCATTGATTTAAACCACAATAAGAGAATAAAATTCTATCTTAACTGAAGAGATTACATTTTAATTAAAACAGTTATTAATTAAAATAGTACCTACCTTGGTATTTTGTCTTAACCATAGCCTCTAGGCTGCAGTTATTATCATCAATCTCAGCACGTCGGAGGCCATCAATTTTAACACCATTGCTCATGCTAACTACAGGCAGGATCGCATATGAGGTATCTTCTCCAGCTCTAAAACTTTGAAACTGGTTTTTTTTTTTCTATTTAATATTAAACCTCAGTCCTAGAACCAATCCAAACTACACACCAGAAGGAACCGAAGAAACGTGAATTCACAAGTGAGACTTGCCACCAAACCACACTTGCCATTGCCTACGCTGACATTGGTATGCCCAATTTCCAGGCCTGGAGTTTTCCTTTTTCACCAATACCCCAAATACCTAAGTTCCTCTTAGGAGCTGCTTGGCTACAATATCACATGAAATGCCTGGCTGAAATACCACCTGTTCTCTGACCTGCATGAGCTTCAGAATTGCAGCCCTCAGATTCCACACTGCACCTCCTCACAGAACGTCTTTCCAGTAAGTCTAGTTCTGACTCTACGTGCTCCCTTCTCCTGGACCTTCTGCTAACCTGTCGCTCCATTAAAGTTAGTAGTCAAAGCCCAGTCATGTGCAGAAAATAGAACACGGTGAAGTTAGGTAAGCACAGAAGGGGTGTCCCTGCTCTGGAAGAGTGCAGCTGCAGCCTTACCGTGGACACAAACTAGTAAGCAACTAACTTCATGCTGTAAAACCAAAACTGGATTACACCAAGTAGAAGCAAATACTCGGTGCTGAGGAAGTAAGTTTAGACCACTGAATAAGGTTCAATCCCATGAAATGCATGCGCGCCAATATCTGAGAGATGAGTGACATTTCAGTAGGAAAAAAGGAAACTCCTCATCATGTCTCAACACTGGAAACAACCAAGGTACCTTTCAGTAAGTGGGTAAACAGACTGCACATCCATGCCTCCGAGTATCCCAGGGGTACAAAGAAATGAACAATCAAATCAGGCCACAAAAAGACATTGTTGGATCTTTAACGCCCACCGCTGAGTGAAACAAGTCAGCATGAAATGGCTACACCCTTCATGTTTCCAGTGAACACTACGTTTTGGAAAGCGAGTATCTACATAGCCAGTAAAAAGGTCAGCGGTTGCCAGCAATTTGAACAGCTAAAATACAGGCGGGTTTTTAGTCATGAGCCTATCCTGAACGACACTCCCATGGTGGACACATGACTTCAAGCATCTGTCTAAACCCATACAGCAGAGAGAGTAAACCTCAATGTATGCAAATTTAAAAAACGATGGAAGATCTTGGGGGACTTCATGAAGGAGCAGAGACCGTGATAAGAGAATCTAATTGAGCTCGTGGGAAGGGAGGGGAAGTGAAGATGGAAGGAGCTGCGGAAGTGGAGACTGAAGGCATGCTGGCGGAAGGGGCTAGACGCACGCACAGTAACCCAGTGGACAAGTCATCTCCCACACAGTACGGCGTCTGCAGTCCTGAGACTACTACAGGTACACTGGAACTAAACACTTACACCTACAGACTGGGGGAGAAGGATTCTCACTGCTGGGACTTCACAGACTCGTAAGGGCAAAAAGGCTAGAGGAATCCCTGCAAAATGGACTAATTACAGACATGCACACGTGTGAGCTTGTATTTAGCTTCTTATAGACCGAGGTTATGTACAGAGGAGCCTACAGATGGGTATAGGCACATGGTGGTATACACACACATTTGTTTCCTTGCTCTGTCCGATCAGAGTACCTACAAGAAACAACATCCCATCTGATGGGGTGAACTGGCAAGGTGAGAAGTTAGCTGGGAGAACATGAGAATCATCACTCTAAGGAAGAAAGAATAAGGGAATAAAGACCTTGAGGTGGGGCTGGCTCCAGAGCACAGCAGCAATACGCTGCTCAAGATAAACTGGATCCCATGTGGTGACTACTGTTTGAATCCCCAGCCTGGTCAACCTGAAACAAGCCAGGCATATGTGCTGAGTGCTCAGCCTGTGAGGGGCTCTTCAGAGGACCAGAGGAAGGGGTCAGAGCATGACCAGACCCTGCGGAGGGTGCTCCTCTCTCTCATACACACATAGAAACATGACCTCTATCATGAATTAAGAAGAAAAGCATTTTAAACAGGACTTGACATGGCCAGATGCGTGATAGGAGAGGACAATCTTTACATCCTGTAGGACCCCTGAAGAAAAAAGTATTATCTTTTCTCTCCACCCATCGGAATATCCCATCTTTAAATAACATAGTTTGATCAGAATTTTAGGAAGACAGCTCACATATGGAAAGAGAAAAATTAGCCTAGAACGGAACAGTTCAACCTATAGCAAACTGAGCAGTTGCAGATGGCTAAGGGAAGTGAAGGCAGGGAAACCTAGACTCCAAATTCTAGCATACAAGGCCACAAAATAAGGAAGAGGTCAAGAAAAATTCCATCTCGTAGAAACACTATTAAAAATGTGTCTACTGGGGACCAGCAGGTGGCGTGGTGGTTAAGGCGCTGAACACTCCCACATGACCAACCAGGGTTCGAGTCCTGAATCTGGTGGCTTGCTTTCTCACTTCTTCTCTCTCTCTCACTCTCACCCTCTGTCTCTCTCTGGTCAGATTGAGGGGAAAAAAAAAAGATGAATGAATAAATAAAATAAATAATTTTTTTAAAAAAGTGTCTACTAAAACCATTATGAACAAAACAGCACCAACCCATTTACTTACAAAATATAAAATAAGAAATGACAGGTTATTCAGCTTTTGAAATGATAAATGAGAATAGAATAACTCACTTCTAATAATTCTGAGACAACAGGCAGAACTTCAGGGTTACAGATATCAATGGAGTCATCCCGATACGTCTTCTTTTTGTAACAGATATTACCCAAATGTAGTATTGCCGAGAGGAGAGAGAAAATCCTGAGAAATAAAACCACAGATTACAGCTTGTGCAGGTGCATTCTGAAAGCTCATTCCATTCCAAAATTCTAACCAAGGAAACTGTCCAGCACAAATATATTTAGTCTTCAGAAAAAAAGAAATACAAGAATAATAACTAAAATTAACAGTGTTACTGCACAAAATGCTTTACCTGATCTTACTTGCAGTATTATGCCACGGGACTTCTTGCTATGGCCTGCATTTGCTGCTGTGTTTTTAAAAAATGCATGTCTTGGGACCAGCAGTTAGTGTAATGGCTATGTTGCTGGACTCCCATGTAGTCGACCTTGGTTCAAGTCCCAGACCTGGTGGCTTAAACTCACGCCGGGCGCATGTGTGTGTGCATGCCCAAGATCCCGAGAGGAGAAAGGAGGAGAAGGGACTATGGCGTGGCCATCCCCCAGGGGGGTCATTTCTCGCTTCCTATCTCTCTATCTCTGTCTTTCTGGTGCGTGCACTTTTTGTGGTGTGGCACAACACTTCTAAAAAAAAAAACTCTCCAAAAAAAAAAAAAAAAAAAAAAGAAGAAGAAAATAAAATAAGAGTCAACCCAAACCAATAACGAAAAAGTCTGGCTAGTATGTAGCACACAGATGGACACTTCAGTCCATATGCCAACCAGTCAGGTGTTCCATGCAGCAAATGAGGAGTCCTGAAGGAGGAACGTAAGCAAGAGGGCGCGAGGAAGCAGACTTAGTACCTCGGTGAACTGCTGCTCCTGTCACCAAGTACATGCGTCTGCGTACGTCCTAGACGTATAACTTGGTTCTAACTATAACGTTCTCATAAAAGACTTTAGCAAGAACCCTGCTACTGAAGAACCGCACCAATGGTGTAAGCAAGCATAAGCAAACAGGAAACTAACAGTGCTGGTGCACTCCTGCTCTTACTACGGCCTGATCAATCGTGATAAAAAATTGACAATATAATCTGGCCTGACATTTTCATCAGTACTCAATCCCCCATCAAAACTAGTCACAGGGGGAACCAGCAGTTAGCGGAATGGCTATGTCGCTGGACTCCCACGTAGTCGACCGCGGTTCGTGTCCCGGACCCGGTGGCTTAAAACTCACGCCGGGCGCGTGTGCGTGCATGCCCAAGATCCCGAGAGGAGAATGGAGGGGAAGGGATTGCGGCGTGACCATCCCCCCTGGGGGGTGATTTCTCGCTTTCTGTCTCTATGTCTCTCTCTGTCTGGCGAGCGCACGCGCCCTACAGTGAAAATCTCTCCAAAAAAAAAAAAAAAACAAAACTAGTCACAAGCAACTATTTTGTTCTGATGAGAGTCAGGGCTGTTTCTTTCATTTTAAACAATTCATTTTTCAATTTGGATTTAATTCATTTCATCTGTACCTCAACCATTTTACTTTTCTAATTTGTTTATATTTGCGATGAACAAAATACACTTAATAAAAACAGTACAACAGTAAATATCCGGAAGAAAAACAGAAAATTATGTTTCACTGATAGGTACGCATGACTTAAGAGCAGAGATTTTTAAATATAGAAAACAAGAAGCTATGAAAACTATTTCAGCAGTTTCTAAGGTCCATACACAGGCTTCAGGGCTACCAGGGATTCCTGCAAACATAAGCAAATGATTTATGGATATACATTAACAAAATAAAAGAACACCAGTTTTTGTCCTTGACCGCGGTTCGAGTCCTGGACCCGGTGACTTAGAATTCACACCGGGCACGTGTGCATGCGTGCCCAAAATCCCGAGAGGAGAATGGAAGAGAAGGGATTGCGACCTGGACCTCTCCCATGGGGAGTAATTTCTCGCTTTCTGTCTCTCTGTCTGTCTCTGTCTCTCTGGCGAGCACATGTGCCCTGTAGCAAAAACCTCTCCAAAAATAAATTAATTAAAAAAAAAAAAGAATTTATAACACACAAAAAAAAGTAATTCAAAACAAACCACGCTTAAAATAGATTCAGCACTAGATTAGGAGTTATCAGCTATAAAACTGTCTAAAATGACCAAGGGAGAGAAACCTTTCAAAGACACACCACGACTTGTCCCCTCCTAGGGTATACGGACATAATAAACAGACTCACTGTCTTCGCGTCTTGGGAAGAAATCCTACCATTTCCATGGCAAGCTGCAAGCGCTCAAAGTCATGCCTCAAATCTTCTCCTTCCACAGAGAAGCAATCCTGCTTAGGTAAAATAAAGGGGGGAGACAACACAAGGTTACCTACTGAAAAACAATATGGACCATTCAGGACTATGGTCATTTCAGATCAGTACACGTATTTATAAATGTAAACCATAACTGGAGGAACATTTAGACATCTGCAAATTCGTTAACCTCTCACCTTACTACCGATAGGCAGACACCACACGTACCTACCAAAAAACCAAGAGGTTACATTGTTTTTGTTCCCTTTCACGATCACCAAAGAAAGGCTCTGGAAATCCATTTAAGATAAAGAACTACCAGCACTGGCCAGCAGGTGGCATGGAGGTCAAGGCAGCTGGATCCCACGTGGCCAACTATGGTGCGAGTCCTAACCCTGCCAGCTTGGTAACACACTGGCCATGTGTGCGTGCCCAAAATCTCAGGAGGAGGATGGTGGTGAAGGGGCTGCTGCGTGACCACCTCCCGTGGGAGGTAATTTCTCATCTTCTTTCCCTGTCTCGGACCAGCGAGTGCAAAAAATAACAGCTAGAAGCACTTACAGAGTGTACTGATATCAAACGCGATTTTGAGTGCTTCTGAAGAGGTCCGGAGATCCAAAGCATTTAAGAGAGCTCAATTCCATAAGCAAATGTTATTTATGCAACAAGCATTTAACAAGATTTACCAAGGTCCTGAACCGGATTGTGGTAACCCAACAACAACTTTTAGAAGAGGCTGAATTTTGGAGCCAGCAGGTGGCATAGTGGTTAAGGTGTTGGAGCCCCACAAGGCCAAACGGCTCGAGTCCTGGACCCGGCCACTAGAAACTCACACCAGGCACATGTATGTGTGTGCCCAAAATCCTGAGAGGAGAATGAAAGAGAAGGGATTGCCGCATGGCCATCTCCGCTGATTCCCTCTCTGTGTCTCTGCTAAGTGCATGCACCCCACAGAAAAAAATCTCTTAAAAAGAAAAAAAAAAATAGGATGGGCTTTAGTTGCCAAGTGCGGCCAGTATCGCTTCCTGTATAAAAGCCGGTGAGACCAATCCCAACCAGGGGTTTCTCTATGCATCAAATATAACATGGATGGTTAGGTGGGTAAAGTATGCAGTGTACAGAGATCTCACAGTGGGAACCAGGGGTTTCTCTATGCATCAAATATAGCATGGATGGTTAGGTGGGTAAAGTATGCAGTGTACCCAGATCTCACAGTCGGGAGCAAGGGTGTCTCTCTGCATCAAATATAGCATGGATGGTTAGGTGGATAAAGTATGCAGTGTACAGAGATCTCACAGTGGGCTGGCACAGGGTGAGGAGTAAAGTCAGAGAGACCCTGTTTAAGGGTGTGACCATGAACTTGCAAACTCACAGAGGGGCAGGATCGTAGGAACTTCTGCGCTGTGGAAATACTTAGCACAGAAAATGGAAGCAATTACGGTTTCAAGGGTCTGGTCCAAGTGGCATCGAGACCCCTGAAAGCACTGCAGCAGGGCTACCTGACAGGAAAACGGGCTGCCAGGTGTGGCCGGGTACTGCCAAGGCCAAGGCTTTGTCTCCACAGGACAGGACAGTTCAAATTCTGAGACCGTCACTCTTACGGCAATCGTCCTTAAAACCCCACCTGACAGATGGACTCTAAAATTCAAGGGCTGGTTCAGATAAAGGAAAGAACTAGGCAAGACTGACGTTTTCCACAGAAGACAGAATTCCACGGGACATGAGCTAAGACATTATAAGTGTTTAGTTCAACCTCAGCATTTTATAATTGAAGAAACAAAGGCCAAAAGACGTTAACAAAATGAAAACAAGGTATCTGAATAGATGACTGCCCTATAAAGAGGGGACATTAGCATTTAATCGTCTACTCGGCGGCACTCGATATGAATAACTGCACAAAATCTCCGAAACACCAAGACGTGTGCATATACACATGCTTACGGTGCACAGGTGATTCAGAGGTGAAGTCATTTGTCCAAGGTCAAAAACCTGGAAAATAACAGGTCAGGCCAAAGCAAAACACGGACAGCTCGAAATCCTCTGCTCTCTGTGGCAGGGCAGCGCTGCGGCTTGAGTTTACTTCTCAGAGCCACGCCTCACAGCAATTAGGTGGCCATGGAGGGGACAACGAGTCTCTTGTAAGAAGCAGTTTTCCGCTGTAGGTGCCCTTGGGACACAGCTCACAGTACAGCTACACAGTGGCAGAGCGGCCATTAACAGCCTCTATGTTTAATGACAGCCACGCCAGTTCTAACCACTCCCAGGGAAATAGCCTGGTTTGTCCCCCACAACCTATGAGGATGAGCTAAGAACGAAGAACCAAAAGAGCCACCTCAGGCTGACTGCTGCTTTCATTAATTCACTTGGGAAAAAATCAGATATTAATCAGAGCCCAAACTGTAACAAATGTGAAAATACAGAAGCAGAAGGATCCCGACGACAGCAATGCGAGTTAAATACCCCTGACCCAGAACGCTCGGGACCTGAAGTGTTTGTTTCTGATTCGGGCCTTTTGAGGATCTGAAATACTTGCACACACATAATGAGATATCTTTGGGAAGGGACTCGAGTCTAACCATGAAACTCACTTATGTTTCATATACATCGTACACACACAGCCTGAAGGTAATTTTATCTTTTGTCTTTGGTGGTAGCACATGTGGCGGTACTGATGAGGGAGGGGAGAAGGAAAGAGAAGCTCCCGCACGGGGTCTCACCCGCTGTGACCCCTTCCCCAGCCCTCTAGGCCGCCACATTGCCGGTGCCAGTGCCCGTGCCCCGAGCGCTCTCAGGCCAAGCGGGGATCTGAGTCCAGTCGGCTGTGTGACATCCTCACACTCGTGCCACCACGCACCGACTGCGCAACGGTGCTGCACTGCGCCACGGAGGCTGCCATCAGTCACCTCAGCTCAGGAGTGGCATTTTCCAGGAGTGGCGTGGTGGCACTCAAAAAGCTTAGAGTTTGGAGCATTTCAAATTTCAGGGATGCTCAACTGTATTGAGAGAAGATTATGACAGCAAAGTCTGTCTGAAGGGAAAAGATGGGTGACGATGGCTTCCACGGAGCAGCGACGGTGCAGCAGGTTACTGTGCGCTTACTACTGGGCTCTCTACCCAGTGCTTTATGGGCACTGTCTAATTGAACACCACAAAACCTAGAGACCAGTAATGCGCCCTTACATAGATTATGGAACAAAAGAATTAAGGGTCCCGCTGAGGGGCTCAAAACTAGCTAGCAGACGAGCCGTTACTGGAGTCGGGGCAAGGGGCCTCAGAGGCCAAATTCTTGAGCGGCAGCCTGGGCTCACACGGCCGCGGTGAGCTCCAGACAGTGCAGTCACCGACTTGCAGTAGAGCTCGCGGCTCCCTACCGCCTTGAAGCCGGGACGGTCCCTCGGCACAGGAGACGAAAGTGAGGAAGGCAGCTTCTCAGGAGGGGCCAAACAACTTAGAGTGCTTACATTAAAATTTACCAGAATCTGTAACTTTACACGTCTAATAATTATTCCCCAAATGTTCAACATGGAACCAAAAATAACTGGATTATGAAATGATCATTTAAAAATTTTTAAATTTTCATTTTATTTATTCATTCATTTATTTTTAACTTGACCAGAGAGAGATAACAGAGAGGGAAAGA